GCACCATCCCAGGGCTTTGCAATACATGCAACCACTTCTTACCGAGACTAATCCCACTGCCAGTGCATAACACCTGAAAACACAGAAATTTTTATGTTAATATTCTGAAACTTCAAAAACAAGGAGAAGAAAACTTGGGCAAAACAATTAGGCAGAGGCCACATTAGATATCACGACAAATTATCTACTAATTAGCATACATATTTCCATAGAAACCATTGAGTGATGCATGTAAGCAACAACTAAAGTTCTGTTCATTTTATTAACTGAAAAGCGAAAGAATGCTGCTAAAGCAATATTTTTGGTGTTTTTCTTCAGTTGGTATCAAGTAAAAAACCACTTGAGGCTTCTCTATTTTCCAATTAAAGGAGATGGCACAATTGTCGGCCAAAACCGGCTCTGTGCTGCTAGGCATAGAGATTGACAAGGTGGGTACTGTTTCAGATGGACACTTAAATTTAAATGAGATACTCGTGTTGGGCAAAACAAGACTTGTATGGTATGTACATGTAGGGTTGGTTGATTTCCCAAATTCCAGAATAACCCTAGCAACCTGAATGAACAACATTTGAAAGAAACACTTGCACTCCTAACCAAGCTATCAATCAAGCCTCTTATAGCTTTCTCTTTAATTAACAACTGAACACAGCAAAATCCCCAATAAACCACCACCAAGCCTCTCTGCTTGGTCTTCTTTGGTCTGTCTGTTTGTTTGTGTTATTATACGAGGAAGCACTGGATTTGCAGGCTACTAATGTCTACGGGGACCAAAAGTATACACATCAAAGTTCCAGCCTTTGCTCAATTAGCTCAGAGTTTATCAGAAGCATGCATTACTCAGAATTACCTCACCGTGTCGCAGACATATATACTGAAATTTGACGAGGAAATCAACTAATACAGGGAACCCTAAAAATCTCATTAACCCAACAAAGCAAGAAAATGCGATAAGAACTTTAGCATGCAATAATTCACTATGTCACAGCCATAGAAACTAGTAATCACTGAAATTTGACAAGGAAATTAACTAATACGAAACCCCTAAAAATTCCATGAGCCCAAAAAAATTAAAAACCCTAAAAAGTCAATTGAGCTGCCCCAAATTGAGTAAAGATACAAACTTTAGCACGAGAATAGATGATATTGCAGAGAATTCATCCGAACCTTTAGTTGTAGTAGAGCTCGAGGCCCATGCCGTCATGGATTTCATAGTCCTTGAGGGTGATGTGGTCCTTGTAGACGTTGTACCATTTCTGGATCCGAATCTTGTCGGATCGGGTACCCGTCTGAGCAGCCACGAGCTTCTTGAGGTCGCCTATGGTGTCATCCTCGTTGCACTTCACCTTCACCTTCTTCCCGAGACGATCGTTCAGCACCACCTCAATCATCTTCGATACAATCAACAATCAATCAGACAGCCTAAAACCCTAATTCGCCAACTGAGAGATTGAGAGACCCAATTTTACACCACAAAACAAAGAAACGAGTTTAATATACAACTTTCCAGGGGCTTTATGGTCTTTTAGATTTCCCGCCGCCCTGCAAAGGTCTACAAGTCTACTTTCCCACCTCTTCTTGGTCTCCTACTCCTCACAATTGCACTCATTCAACATAAAATAATGTTAAATAATTGTTCTAATTACGCGTGAAACTTTTTTATTATTTTGATTATAATGATTCTTTTTACAAAATCTGAAATTGTTTACAAACTAATCCGATCGTATTAAGTAAGGGTTTTGTATTTCAAGTACTTAACAATATTTATTTATGAGTATGAGGTTTTAGATTCGATTCTTTCAATACTCTAATATTGCTTGTATAAAAAAAATTAAAAATAAGAACTCAACTATATTTTAAATTGAAACTAAGGACTCGTTTGGGACAGCTTCTTTAAGAAGTATTTCTGCTCATAAACACTTCTAAACTTCTCTGTCAAATGCTGTCAGAAGCGCTTTTAGTTATCAGAAAATGCTTTTGGCCTTTCCAGAATCACTCCCAAACAGGCCATAAATGATTTATTAAGTTCAACTAAGCTCATGTCGCTTTGAATCAACATGTTGAATTAGTTAAACAAATAGATGATATATATTTTCAAGCATGCGTTAAGGGATTTGTATGAGATCAACCATCTCTATTCTTGATTTTTCAAGCATTGAATAACGGATTGTAATGTGAGACCAACGTACTTTTTAATTTCATGTGTGTTAGTAAAAGTATGAATATTCATAAATCGAATATATATATATATATAATAGTATAGAACATGGATTTAGGTTGAGCTTGGGTTGACAAATGATATTTACCCCTTTTAGTTATACAAATTATAACTTTTGCTCTCAATCAAATTTAGCCAAAGGAAAATACAATTTAGTTTAAAATATAATTTATGACTTTTGAATTTTTAATTGACAATCTTATTTTAAAAGCCAAAGAGCCAAAACAAAGAAAGGATATGATCTAAGTCTCAATGGCCTGTTTGGGAGTGCTTCTGGAAAGGTTAAAAGCGCTTTCCGACAACTAAAAACGCTTTTAACAGCGTTTGACAGTTAGAAATTCTTTTAGATCATAGAAGCATTTTTTTTAGAGAAGCACATGCTATGTGTTTCTTCATGAGGCACTTGAAAAGCACTTGGATTTTTTTTTTTTTATAATGAAAATTCAAGATGTTTATAATAAAAGTGCTTTTGTTAAAAACGCTTATGAGCATAAATACTTTTGTTAAAAGTGCTTAAGAGGTCTTGCAAAATTAATGGAGAATTAAAATAAAATAATATAGCTTGCTATTTTTGATGGGAAACATTGCCCACACCACATGAAGATAAGATGACTGAAAGAGTGAAGGTCACAACTTTTGTTACTAAAAAAGAAATAAAAAAGGTTTCAACTTTATCATAAATCCCATCAAGGCGAATTCCTAAAAAAGATGCGTATTGCCCGATCAAAAAAATTGAAAGAGAATGAAAAAAAAGAAGCATATGCCAATTGCAATTGGTGTACCAAGAACACATATACATAGACAAGTGTTGGGTCACACTAGGAGGCAGCAGCACGCCACTGGTGACTGTCATGAGTCATATCTGACGAGAGAAGCTGACAAATCCCATCAATTCCAATTCCAACCATTTCTGCTTCACCTTCGTCTACCTCCGACATTCCGAACTGTAACTTCTTCTTACCCTTTGTCAATTCCTTCAATTCCTTCCTATTGAAACAATTAACAATAAAAAACCCAACAACCATCGAGCTGAAAAGGAGCAATCTTCAGCTGAAAAAGGACCAATCTTTGTTGATTCTTGTTGTTGTTGAACATGATTTTATCAAGATCTCTTGTCTTTCTGTAGAGCGTGCAGGGAGTCAGGGGAGAGATTGGAGCGATGAACGTGAGCCGCCCATCGGTTCACCCCGTGGAGGCCCCACCCTTGACTGACTTGGCAGCCCAGAATGCTCTCAGAGTGAGGATGAAGGACGTTCAAGGCATGCCTGGCACCGCAGGTGGTCTCGTGTTGCGTCTTTGCCAGCTCGGCTTTGCAGCCATTTCTCTCTCAGTCATGGCCACCACCTCCGATTTTCCCTCTGTCACTGCTTTTTGGTAATGCTTGTTTTGTTGTGTTCATGATTTCACGATTTTTTACTTGATTATAGACATGGGTTTTGGTTAAAGTCAAGTCTTTGATGATTTTTGTGTTTGCTTTTTTCTGGGTCAGCTACCTTGTTGCTGCTGTTAGTGTGCAATGTGTGTGGAGCTTGTCACTGGCGATTGTTGATGTGTATGCTCTTTTAGTGAGGCGGAGCTTGCGCAACTGCAAGGTTGTGGGTTTCTTCACCATTGGAGATGGGGTAAGATAAGATTCAAACTCATTAAGTCTTGTTGCATAACTGCAGCAAAGCAGTGCTGGTATTCTTGTTGGATTAACTATTTAGGTTCCATGTGAAATTTAGCCCAAGCCTGCTAAACCAGCTAGAAGTATATGAGTTTTTCCTTCTCTATTGGCAGAATTTGAAGCTACCCCTTCTCTATTGCCTGTTTGCCACCCAACCCTTACCAAATGTGGCATTGATAGATTTTCCCAAACTTGATAACGGTGCTTTATGTCAGAAGCTTCATGTGGATATGTTTTGTAATTTTTTTTATCTGATTTCTGGTCTAATGTTTTATCTAATTGCTATTTGGGAAATAGCATAGGGTTCTTTGCATCCATTTGTTAGCTGCCTTGTTCATATCTGCTTACCCAAATATATCCATATACCATTGCTTCAAAGTGGAATTTGCTACTCCGGGGGTCCATAGACATAGTTGCTGTTCTAGATTATGCTGCAGTTGATAGTGTTACCATCAATTGTCTCTTAGTACACCAAGACACTACTACATCTAAGACTGACTAAAAGGTTTCTGTTAGTTGATTGGCCCATCTTCTGATCTCTGGAATAATCAGCAGCACAGTAGCCAACTAGCTTGCTCTCTTTACCCTTGTACAATGAAATAAGGTTGCATTTTTACAAACTATACAAGAGTAATAAAACCTTTATATTCAGGTCTCCACCTGTGGATGATTATTATTCTCATGTACATTTGAAAATACCAGTCGTGGAACTAATCAGATATTTAACAACCAATATTATAACAAGGTAAAATCTCTGCGACATGACATGTTACAACTCGTTCTTCTGAAGTTGCAGTTTCGCCTTGTTTCTCTTCTTGAAAAGTGTTACATATTTGTCTCATGTTGTTAGGTGTGTTTATGAGCCTCTAATGTGCTCAATCGTCTTTTGTTCTATCGTTGTCTTGATTGTGAACATTACCTTGCCTATCTTTCATTTTATTTCTTCAAAGTGGTAGCATACTCTTGACCTTAGAGATATGACTCCCTTCATGTCAACCACATGTTTTAATTCTGGTTGTGGAACCTCTTGATACCACCTACCATTTGTAGGCTGCTTATGATGACCCAACCTAGTTTCTCTCGGTGCCAAGCTTAATCACAGACAAGTTTCAGAGTCTCAGCTTGGGCACGATAACTAGATCCCTAACTGCCTTGCTCTGATACCAGAATCTTGAACAAAACATGTGGGAAGTCAACAGAATTTGAATAACTTGCATGCCTACGAATGCACAACTATAATACACACACAAACAAAGACACTTGTGCAGGCACACTCGTTTAAATAGACGCTCTTACTTACACCTGACACCTCACTTTCACTCATGCTCTGCTACAGGGATAATGAGAGCTGAGCTCTCTATATAATGATGATCAAAGTCAGTTCTGCCAACTGTACTTTTTTTTTTTTTTTTGGTTTATTCGTTCGGATGAGCAGCTGCAACCAACTCAAATGGCTAGCATAAATAACTGGATATATCAGTCTATCCTCAGCTTACTATATGATGTGTTGTTTTAGGAAAATGTCAAATCAAGTCTTACTCAATAGCCATCTCATCTGTTTCCATACGTGATACTAATAGATATCCCTTCTGGAGATTTTGTCAAATTTGATGCGTGGCCTTCTTTTTATGGAAGATAAATTAACATCAGTCCTTCATTCATTTTGTAACAATATGCTTTGTTAATATGTACTTGTGCAAATGTCCATTTGTTTGGAAGTTGGAAAGTGAAAATTTGTGCATGAGGAGTACATTGTCCAGACCTAGTCCATCCCCAGCTTACAGATATGTGGGTGTTCTTTTCATGCAGATCACATCCACGCTTACATTTGCTGCCGCATGTGCTTCTGCTGGAATTACTGTCCTCATTGCCAATGATCTTAACAAATGTGATGTGAATCATTGCAAAAGGTTTGAGACTGCCACAGCTATGGCTTTTATCAGTTGGTTTGCTGTGTCACCATCCTTTCTTTTAAACTTCTGGTCACTGGCTTCCCGGTGAAACACGGCAGGGGGGAAATTCATCAGTGAGCCGAGTCTTCTTATATTCTTAAAAAAAAGAAAAAATTGGCCTCTTTTAATGGCTGTGCTGGGTATTTGTTTGATTGCCCTTATTCTGTACATAGAAATATTCTGGCAGAGTTTGTTGAGAGATTAATAACCTTTAGCATGGAGATATGTATAATTTTGGATTTTGAATCTTTTTCCTCATTGTGGGTGTCATGTGATAGTTTTTGTTGTTCTTCCAAAAGCGTTTTCCTATTGGTTTGCTTTGAAACTTCTTAGGATCTATATGCACCGAAAGCAGCATTGAAAATTCTGCAGGCTAAAAGCTTATAGGTGCCAAGTGGAGATGCCTGAGTTTATTCTGCAGCTTTGCTTTAGTGAAAGGTTAATGAAGATGATCATGCGTTCCGTTAAAGCTTCTATGATTATTAGTCTTGGAAAATGACAAAAGGAAACAAGTCGGCAAAATACAAGAAGTTGCTTTTGTTTGAAATGATAATCATAATTCACGAATTGCATGTTCTTCTGCTTTGCTGCTCTCTATGTATGGCTTGACCTGAAAAGCGTAAAATAAAATTCCATAGTTCATGGAAGCATTTCTTAGGTCAAGTACCATATCATTCTGCTTTCTTGAAACGAAGAAGACTTAAACCCATGTAGATTTGATCAAATGACATAACCCAATGTCATGGTCAAGAATCCCACGTCCAGAAGAATGAGGTCCCTCAAGAGTAGGTATGCAACATCACCTAACATGACATGCCAGTCTTTTCGGTTGATTGGCGAGCACCTAGCCGGTTAGGAGTAGTATTCGAGCACCCCCATTTTTGGTTAATTGGCAAGCACATAACCTGTTATGGGACGTAGATGTATTAACGGTGAAATCAGTTACCAAATACTGCCTTTCCGAAAGGAGAAGGAAAAAAAAACATATGTAGATGTCACAACTTACATTAGGTTGTGCAGTGGTTAATATAACTGTAACTGAAGAAGTTCAACTTTCTAAGAATACAACTTTTTCTTTTTCACTTTTTTTGTTAGTGGTTCGTTATATATGGGAAGTAGTTACAGTTTTATTAAGAAGTCTCTTCTTTTGGTAAGTCTCTAACTCTTCTGTTAGCTTCTAATCTCCTTTTCTGAGTAAGTGATTAACTGAGGATTAGGCTAAATCTCGACACATCTCTCATCAACACAAGATTAGTGTTTAATCGAAAGCGTAAGGGAAAAGAAATGGCAAGCAAGATAACGGTCTCTCATCCCTTTTCAATTCTCTGCCTAGAAGAACAGTCAAGACAGTTGGTAACGGCCATAAAAGATTTAAGCAAAGATGGCTTTCCGTGCTATTAACCTGCTCCTTGAGCAACTTGACCATCTGTATATATGTTTCAACCTTTACTGTTATCTTTGAACAATTTGTCCCAAAGAGAGAAGGGTTTAGAAGGCTTGAAGTTGAAGATTGGAGAAGTATGTCTAATAAGGAAGTTGAGGAGGAAAGAAGGTTATATCAGTGTGCAAGGAAATATGAAAAAATTGTAAAACAGGTAGAGTGTGCAATGTAGTATGTTTACTTTTACCAACTGGATTTTACCTTTCCCTAATTTAAATTTAACCATGTTTGAAAATCAAAATTACTGAGATAAGTTAGCCTGGAAATCATAATGCATCCCAACCCCTTAGTTAGAACATTGTTTCTTTCTTTCTTTCTTTCTTTCTTTTTGGAATGACATTTTGTTCCAACTTATACACATAAATTGATTAGGAAACTTGGGTTTGATTTCTGTTCTTCAGTTTGATGAGCTGATTGAGATGATGAACACCCGGAGCAGACTGCCGAAGCGACGAAAGGTATCTTCCGGTAACATCTCTTATATAATTCCATCTTCATCTTTAAATCTCACGTATGTGCATGCAATTCACAGAATTCTACAACTGCTGCCCCTGCCCCAGCAAGTCAACATGAGGACAATGAAGTGTTTGCACAGACAATAACAAGATTTCTCCAGGACTTGAGAACCAACCCTGC